AAGAGCCAAATTTTATTTTGGGCCTTTGCATATTCCTATTGAAGACTAACACAAAATAAAAAATACAGCTGCTTACGGGACAACATTAAACAGCCCTCTACACCACTGTTTCCCAATCCAGTCCTTAAAGGACCCACAGTCAGTCCATGTTTTTGCGCCCTCCGTGCCTGACAGTCCACATTTTTGCTCCCTACCAGGAGCTGGGAATGAGCAAAAATGTGGACTGGCTGTGGGTCCCCGAGGACTGGATTGGGAAACACTGCTTTAACCACTGTAGTTTAAGTACCTACTCTAACCATTACTCTGTTTCTGCATGTGATTTATATGCCATCTGGTCCCATTGTTTCCGTTTCATCTCCTGGAAGCCCTTCACCAGGAGACTTACATCATGTGAATGTGCATGCTGCTGCCTATTCAGCAAAGCAGTTACTCAAGTTGAGCAGCTTAGCAAAAGGGCAGGAATTAAAGGGTTAATATTCAGCACCAGGAAAGAAAAAAATACTTAGAGGTATCTAAATTTCACCAGCTAATCAGGTCCCGTTTGTGTCATTAAAGTTTGTAGTTGTCAGGAGAGGACACATCAGCCACAGAAAGCACCCAGTACCTTATGGGTCACCAGGCAGAAGATCCCGTTGTTCTCTTGTTGATTGAGACCTGGAACTCTGCTTTTTTGGGTCCCAAACCCAGACCTATCCAATTATTTTCCAAATTTTTAGGGCCCTTCAGGTGTAATCATTTTAACTACCCCCAGCCCCCTTTACAGCACCCCTGACAGAGACTCCACGCAACTACAAGGACCGGAGCCTGTTTTGTCAGAGAAATACACAAAAGCACTGCAAGCACAACATAAGCGCTCATGTGGAGGTGCAGCTTCAACTGCATCTACCACAGCCTGTAGCTGCAAAGAGCCAAGCTCTTCAATGCAGTGCGGTATAAGTGACCAGGATCTGTTTAGGGGCATCGTCCGCACCCACCCCCCCACCTCATTGGGATCCCCATGAACTCGCAACCCACGTGCCGTGTCATCCGCGCGGAAGCGCCGCAGAGTGGCACGAGCGGGTGGGCCGGCTGCACGAGCTGCCCGCCCCGCAATTACGCCGAGTGATTTATCACCCTTTTCAATCTGATACTCCTGCGCTGTGCCTTTGTTCTTCAGCCCCAGCGAGGCGGTCCGAAGGCCCGGGGCTCCCTAACGCGGGTCAGCGTTATCTCCTCATCCTGAACACGGGCTTCATTTCCGGAAAGAAATAAAATATGTGCAGACCAAATCGCACGCTCGTATAGGAGAGCGCATGTAAATAAGAAGCAACGGTGTATCTTACGTTAAATTAAAATAGGAAGAATTACGAGTGAAACAACAAACGTGCCTGTCTGATAAAGCAAGAGCTCGCAAGTACTTTGTATCTCATGTACTGATTTCCAGGACATTGTGAAATAATGCGATTTAAGTATTTTTAAATCATACGCTTCTGCAATACAGCTCCCGAGTCCATTTATGATTGAATTTTAAAAACCCGCTTATTCCTAAAATCTCTTTGTACCTATGCCAGTCTCTCCCTGTCTAGTTGCAGTACTACTTCTCTTCCCAGCATTGCATGTCTTTCAGAGGTGTGGAGCGGATGGCGCTATCATCTGCCTCCGTAGGAGAAACGGGCCAGACGGGGCAGATCCCCACGGGGACTATTAACACTTCACGCCACGTGTACGCCAGAGGACCCGGGGGAAGATGACACCGCTGGGGGACATTTAACTTCCAGAATAAATGTGTGTAGATAAGAAAAATGAGCAGACCGGCGTCAGTCGCAGATAAAGCATTTACCGGCGTCCGTTACAGTGATTTTATCTACGCCTCAAGTAAGCATCACTGCCGTAATTTTCACGCAGGTCACATTAGCATAACCCCTCCTCCCACTGCGCCCCGGCGTATGGTCCAAATAATTTAATTTACAATAAAAGCTCACTCCTTTAATTTTTCGTCCTTTACGCATATTTTGAAATCTATCACGCGAGCATGAGGAACGTGAGTATAATAATAAGTATAATAATTATTCTTATTATACACGTGATGCCTGTCCAATTTTATATAAATACAGAGAGGCCTAGAGACGTCGGTCATGCATATATTGGTCACCCATTTACAAAATCAGACTGTTCAGCGGCTCTGCCTCCCAAATCCCAGCCACGCCCTCGTAACCCCCCAGGGTCTCTGGCCCTTGTTGTCTGAACAATGGCACACAGTTCACTTGTTTTTTTTTCTGGAAGACCATCTTCCAGCCTTAAACCCTGCATCTGCCCAGCACTGTATGACAAAGAGCAGGACCACCAGAGGATGTAACTCATTAACTGGTTGGAGCCATGGAGGGCTTAGTTTTTAGCCATTGTTTTCTTTTTCCATTTAACGTTTCCGTTTCCCCCACTCTCACTACATGTGACTGTATCCAGCTCCACAAACAGACACATACACACACGCACAGGCTTGCCGGCCTCCAGCATCCCCCCCCCCCATATCTGCTCCATTAGCCCCGAATTGTTGCAGTAACCCACAGCCCCCACGGGAGGTGTTACTGTCAGGCTTGATTTACTCCAGCCAGCTGACACTGAGGCTGCAGGATGGGGCAAGGAGAGCAAGTCAGGCAGCTGGGCCCCGCTAACTGGCAGGAGACACGGCTGTCATATCAGAAACACCCCACCGTCACGCTGCTCGCATGTAACCGAAAGCTCTATTGCATTTTGTGATTGAAAAAATTCAAATCTCTGTTACAAAGAAGTTGACAGTTAGTATGGGTTTTCAAAAATTTGACAATGACCAGAGTAATTTTTGTTCATTGTAGAAAAAAAAAAAGACTTCTCATCTCCATGGTTACCCACCCCATTGCCCATGGGCAACACGCCAGTCACCCAGACTGGGATGTTGTTTGCATCACATGGTTGGTCTGTGGAGGAATACCTACCTGTCAGTCATGATGCCCAACCTGAGTATGCTTGGGATTAACTTTTGAGTAAATACATTGAGAACAACGGAAACCAGCTCTACACATAACATTGCTAAAATGAATGCTGGTAAGACTCATCACAATGCTACACAAACTTCATTTTTCTGTCTGTGGTGGTTTGCCCCCCTTTAATGAGTTATTCCCTGCCTTGTGCCGCTTGTTTCCGGAAAATGCTCTGGACCCCCAGAACCCTTTATAGCACAAAAATATAGCAGATGAATAAATAAATTGAGTGAATGAATGATTTTTTCCATTATAAAAAAAAAAAACAAAAAACATTATTGTTGTACGGCTTGCTTATGGAAGGACTGCACAGCTCAGACATGCCGCGTCTGATTCGCGAAGGTATGAGGTTTTTAAATTAATTAGAATGAGTGGATGAAATACTCCTTCCTGTTGGCACACTGGAGTTCATCCAGAGGTCTGTTACAACGCGGTCTCAGGGCACATCAATCTGTTATTCGCCACTTTCAGGGGAAACGCAATGGCACCGGCACCTGGGAAAGGATCCTCGTGTTCCAGCACTTTCATTCTATGTCGGTTCAGGCAAGTCTCACTGACGCGTTTCCCAGGAAAGGGCGCAGTAAACTGACCAGGCCTAGGATTAACGATGCCTTTAACGCCTCAGTCGCCCACCCCTCAGAGAGCCTCTTCCCACACCTGTCCTAGCCACTCACCTGCAGCTCAAACTGATTACGTTAGTGTCTGCTAAACTGCAATAATCTAATAATCTAATGTTCAAACCCAAAACTCAGGAGGTGTCTAGTTGCAGGAAGTCAAACTAGTGGGCTGCAAACTCTCAATCTCTGTTTTCCCTAAAATGTTAATTTGCAACTCAAAGTCTATTTCCTGATAAATTAGCCATTATGTGATAACTGTTCTGAAAGTCCCAGATCTAACCTCCATAGCTTCCCTACAATAAGGATGTTGTTTGAATAAATATGACCAGACTGGGAATTTAACTCTAAACTCCTAAGAAGTACTGATGCTATCATCGTAGACCTTAAATTAAACACTGCTTTTTAAATTTCTTTTTACAAAATTGACCTAGTCCATATGCTTTGTACACTAAAGCAAAACCGAAAGGCTGCCATTTTAAATAGAACTTCAAAACTATAAACAAGATCCACGGTTAGCTTTATTTTTCTATAAAAAACAATAAACAGACATTCGTATTCTTTATGATTTGAAATTCACATTTTTTCCTGTAATCTTTTGCAAACAATTCTTTGTGAAGGAAGTGCATCACAAAATGCTTACAAACGTTTCATTTCCCCCAGCTCTGTCTCCGTTGCAGGCATATCCGAAGCACCAAACTACCGGCTCCTGTAGGTATGCAGCAAATGCCCAATATATCTAATTGAACCTGACTCTAAATAAGTAAACATATGAGGGAATTCACAAGCTGTCCTGTGATAGCCCTACGGCATAAGAGACTAAATATTTCAGCTTGGTAGGAACAAACAATGTGCGCTTATCTCCAGATCAAACCGTCCCCGCGCTCTGCATCAGATTTCTACGCTAAAGAGTCACTGAACGGCTGATACACCCTTGGTAATTAGCCAAGCGGGCAATTTACAGATTCAGGTAGATCGCTGAGATCCACTCGGGTTTCCTAATCTACCGGGACATGAAGGGGACAGTGTGATTAATTCAAGAAAATAATTAGGACAAATAAATACCTAAAAGACCGTTTTGGGGGGATTTGGGGTGTTATAAGGCAAATTATTGTAGGCCTAGCTATTACTGATTTTACCAGTTCTGAACTTTTATTTTTAATTTAATTATTCATATAAATATATTGATTGTGACCGCAACATGGTAAGAGATAAGATGGATGGATGCACTGTAATGAAACGTGTGCATTTTATTATTATATGAAGTGCACGCCCCGACATTATAGTATCTCGACATATTTATTAATTTACTGGCAATTAGTGCTAGTGATTTTTTTATTCGAACCTTTTGTGCCGTGCAAATGGAAAGTTCTCTTTAACCGCCATTTAACAGTAGGCTAACAACAGGAGACGGGAGAGATACGTGACTGATTACAGGCTCCCCTGCAGCCGGATCGGAGTGGAAAGACACCGGGATCCTTAGGCTGGTTTGCAGGAAACCCAACACCACCAGGTTTGTTAGTACATCTGCGTCTCTTGCCTTACATATTGTGTTTATTTGTAATAGATAATGAATAATAAGTAAATACGTATTGCTCGCACCGTAAATAAAAATGCAAATCATTTACCAATCCGTCTTCCAGTCGCTATCCAGTACACGGTCACAGTGACCCTGCAGAATATACGGGAAGCACAGCAAACAGCAGACAAGGTCTCCAACAGAAATTAATAGGTATTAATAAACCTATAAGGAGAGTTATACTCTATACATGGCTATGGTGTTTAAAGAGAGTTATTTCTATAAATGTATTAAAGCAATATTAAATCAATAAACTAGGACTGCTGCTTACGGCGGGGCAGTTTGTGCAGATTATGTGACGTCATGCTGTGGGAATTATAGCCAACACTCTGAAGGAAATGTATATCAGGAAAGTAGGTGCGAAATACAGATGTTTGTAGTCAGCCAGCAGAATAAAATAATTCTTATATTCTTTTGTTAATTTTTTTATTTGCGGATTTAATCTGGCAGAGAATGAAATGGAGCCTGACTTCAGAATGTGTATTTGTAAATACAAATCGTACATTGATTTGTCTGATCTGTGCATCTGTGCATTCTCAGCTGGGTCTGATTCACACCTGAAGCAGGAGGCAACAGGGCTGAAAAATGATCCCTTCATCCCCATTGGCCGCACCCTGCATTTCAGTGACACTGGTGCAGTGCATTGTGGGAATGTGTCCCCTCACTGACATGAAGCTTTCCACAGAGTCATAATGGATCACGTTCTATCGCTATGGACGTAAGCTAGGCATGTTCCAAGCAACTGCATTTGACTGCACTTGCAAGAAACACGCTTTCTGCCTGAGTACTGTTTGTTTTAGCCCAGTAGAACTTAAGTAGTATTTTACAGAACAGCTCAAGGAAGCAGGTTGTTTGTATTTCATTGACAAATTTATTAAAGACCAGTAGCACGTGATCATCGGAGAGCATAAATAGACAACATAAAACATATTCCACATAAACAAACGGTTACACTGACCAGGTGGTTTCAGTGTTTCGAAATTAATTAACATACATCTGAGACACACAAATGCATAGAAATACTCCCACTTAATAAAGGATCACATTTACATTTTTATGTCAATCCATCTTTTTCTCCAGGGGCTGTAAAAATTAAGCTTCCAATGATTATAAAGTGTACTGAGTACAAGGGATATTTGGCAACAGACGGACGAAAAGAGTACAACAAGAATATAAAGAGTGAAAAAAAGTGAAAGCGGTGGATAGGGCTGGAAGTGCCTGATGTGGCGTTTCCTGGCTGGGGCCAGCTGCATAAGGCAGTGTGTCTTCCCACTTCCCATACACCAATCACACACTTTTTCTCTAGGGATAACATCAGATCTATGTAAAGATGCAAAGAAAATGGTTACTTCTGGGGGAATACAGTGCTGGTGTTTCCTCCTACTTGATGAGAAAATAGGAATGCGTAGTAAGGAATTTTTTTTTTTTCTCCAAAAAATAAATGTGGTGTCAGGCATCGTGGTGTTTTCAGAAATCCACTCCTCTCCCTTCTAGAGCAGGGCTCTTCAAATCTGGCCCTCTATTCCAAATCCAGGCCTTGTTTTCAGTTCTTCCAGGTACTTTAATAGTTACTGATTCTGATTGGCCACAGAGGCATCACACCTGGCTCACCGGTAAAGGAAGGGTGTAGAGGGCACCCTGAGGATTTGAATAGCCCTGTTATAGAGTTTTTCAAGACAATTCTGCAGACTTTTCAGATCTGACAAGATGATTTTAGGAGAGGAGGGAGCTTCAGCAGCTGTCAGAGGGGTGTTCGGAGCAGAAGCTCAGGAGGTGTCTTGCCGCAGAAAGCCAAACTCGTGGGCTACAAACTGTGAAACTCTACTTTTCTGTTTCCTTTTTCCCTTGCCCATTGATTGCCACCAGAAGTCTATTTTCTGTTGAATTAGTCATTTCATGAGAGCTGCTCTGACAGTCCGTGGTCTACCCTAGATAGTTTCCCTGCAAGTCCTGCCCCACATCCTGGCCATGCGGATGGAGACTGAATGAAATGTGAAGTGAAAATGCAGTCTAAGCAGAAGTATTGGGGCATTTGAGGAGCTCAACGAAGGACGGGGTACGGCTTCATCAAACGGTCTATAGTCACAAACACAGCATGATGGAGGGGTCCTTCCCACGTCATGAAAAAGACATTTGTCCAGAGACACGTATTTTGTACATCTCATGTTTTCCACTGACGGGTCTTTAAAACTGAGTGTGGTCCACCTCGTCCAGCCAGGAGGCAGGGCTCGCTGGAAAGTCCGGATATCCACCGCTGGAGCCCGTGGATAAGTCTGAGCTGGGGCCGTTACCACCAGCCATCACCCGCATGGCCTGGCTCATGTTGGGCGGCCCGCCCTGGGCCATGATGGACAACCCAGAGTCGGGGTACACCAGGCTGGAGATGAGCGGCTGATGTCCAGGAAGGGCCTGCAGGGAACTCGGGGACTGGGGCAGGCCGTACGGGCTGCTGGATCGGACGTCATGGTACTGGTCTTGTGGCGGGATGACCCCTTGGTCTAGGGGGAAGTTTCCGTGGTTACCCCCTCCTCGGGCAATGGCGGGGGACGTCTCGTTTAGGCCGCTGTAGATCCCATTGGAATGGCTGACGTCAGACATGGAGGGCTCATCTGAGACCGTGGAGAGAAATGAGTCAGGTGGATGTTTACTACTCCACATGTGTTCAATGAGTCCCCACAAGTACATTTCGTTACACGCTCATACACAGCTCAGGCAGAAAAAAATTGTACCAAACATCAGGGGAACCCTTTAGGTTTGTAAAATTATTTAAGTTTCAGTTTTTAATCTTTTCCCCAGATTAATTGCATTACCTGTGAAGGAGACCTCTGCATCACTGTCCATGCCCTCCTCCTGAACGCTGTCCTTGTCTGACTTTGAGCCGCCCCGTGACCTCTTCATGCTGCGGAAATACTGCCCCCACCTCTGTCGGCCTGCGTCCTTCTTCAGCCGCTTCTCCTTCGCGCGCCTGTTCTGGAACCACACCTGGATGGGGCGCCACAGAATAGCCATCAAAAGTTGATACACTTAAGGTCCTCCTTCCATATGGGAAGTCAATTTAACGCTGCAGATTATCTAAACAAATAATCATAGTCATGAACTTGTGTGTAAGCTTTGAAGGAATTCTGCCCCTTTTTTAACCTTTGAGCACCTGACCCTCAAGAAATCTCTACACAGCCCTGTCAGGATCTAGCAAATTGGATTAGTGCAGGGGTGGGCAGTGTTATCCGCAAAGAGCCAATGTGTGTGCAGGTTTTTGGCTGTTCAAACCCAGGTGTGAGGACTCTTAGCCAATCAGTCCTCTAATTAGTAATCTAATTAGGGAGTTGCACCGAAAACCCGCATACACAGCGGCCCTTTCTGGATGAGATTGCCCACTCCTAGATTAGTGGATATTATGCAGTGTGGTTCAGTGGCTCAGTGGCAGGGCTCCAGATGGCCTAAATGGTTGCCAGTGTGACTACATTTTTTATTTTGCATTTTGTTTAGTTTCGTTTTTTCATTCCAGTTGCCAATGGTGACTGCTTCTCACAATTCAAGAAAAAAATAAAAACTAAAAACCTAATAAAAGTGCCAACTTTCAATTATGTGCACTCTTAACCCACATCTACCTGTCCCGCTACATTATCATGTGATTAAAGCGTGAATTGATCCAGAGCAGTGTTGACAGATCAGCGAGTTTTGTCAAATCGTTGCGTTGGAAACTGTTCACACTAACTGGCAACCTGTTGCAGAGAGTGTGGAGCCCCGGAAGGGTACATGGAGGGGGAAAAAACGATGGTTGGGAAAGAAACGGGATGGACTTTTGCGAGACCCGACAATACTTTTCCGTTACCATTAATAACTGCACTGTGTACGTTTAAAGTACAAAAGATAGAATTTATTTATAGACTAATAAGTATAAACCTAAACGATACAGACATATCCTGTAATGTAAGGCAGGGGTGCCCAACTCCAGTCCTGAAGGGCCAGAGCCCTGCACATTTTTGGGTTTCCCCTCATTTAACACACCTGATTCACCTCCTTGTGCTAAATACCACACAGCTCTTGAGCTGAATCATTTATGGTGGAACAGGGAAAGAACTAAGCTACACAGGGCTCCGGACCTCCAGGACTGGACACCACAGGACTGGAGTTGGGCACCCCTGTTGTAAGGCGGAGATTTCAGGTCCAGAGAGTACAAATCCAGACCAAGATTTTGTTTCAACCAACCAGTTGAGTACTCTGTGACTGTGACTCTTTATACTCAAACAAAATCTTGGTCTGGATTTGTACTCTTTGGATCTGAACTTTCCACTTTAAGCATTAAACTAGGTGGGGGCAATGCACATCATATAACTACAGTATTATGTGTTTTTATATGCATTTATTTATTAATAATTGCACTGTCCATTCACTGCCAGTGACTTTAAGCAAGACAGATGGGCTACTGAACGTGATGCGCACAGACAAACACTGAAAAATATTACAAACAATGAAAGCTATTACAGCCGGAAAACTGCATACAAAGCTAACTTTAACGCGGTGTTGGTGTTAAGGTTTAAACTCAAACCCGCTTTCTGGAATATTTCAGTATAGAACTGCATATCCCTTATCATACATCATCAAGCAAGAATACCAGGGAGGTATACCCGAAAGGGTAAGATTTTAACCTAAAACCAAAGACGCACCGTAAAGTTCGCTTTATATACAGTTTTCTGGCCCTAATATCTTTCAACAAATGCAAGCAACACCCCTTGGTTTTCCAGATTTCTTTGCAGTCAAATTTTAATTAATATTTCAATGCTTGTGTGTGCACTTCACATTCAATAGCACAGCTGTCTTTCTTACATCCTGCATATTACATATTTCACATTTCTGTGTCATTTAATATTATGTTGTTATGGATGCAGAAGGCAACAGTAGGCAGATCAGAGAGCTCAGACTGGAGAAAGAAAAGGCACTGTGAGGTAGACCGGAGACAAAATGTGATAGGTACGTATTTATTTATTTCACATTTGGCTCCTAAAGTTTTCTTTTTTTGTGTGGATGGAGCCCTGGGTCACTGTAGCCTTAAATTGGGCTTCATTCTCAGCCCCATTATGGAGTTTGCATGTTCTCCCCAAATTCTCTAAATCGCCCATAATATCCTGCCCGGGGTGTCCCCCGTCCTGTGAGATGGACTGCAGCCCTGGACTAAGAAAGGTGCAAGAATGGATGTATATTCAGCAGTCAATTATCTCTATCAAGAGCAAATTAAAAAGCTACCTTCCTCTCAGCTTTCCACCATAAATTTGTTCTCACTTAACATAATTTACATATTTTATAAGTACAATTACAAGTACATTGCACTTTAAGGTTGGAGGTAATTAAGCTTGCGAACGTCAGATATATTTTTTAACCTCAGAGAAAAAAAAGACTGAAGCAGAGAGACGTGACAGTTACGTCAGAGCTGTGTTTCCCAATCCGGTCCTCAGGGACCCCAGACAATCCACGGGAGGGAGCAAAAATGTGGGTAAGCTGGGGATCCCCAAAGACCGGGGTAGGGAAACACTGCATTACAGGCTTTGTGCTGTAGGACACAATGTTATCACATGTGTAATTAACTCACAGATGGCTACAAGTCATCCTTGACTTGTAGAGTATAAAGATTACCTTAACCATTCCATTAAAAAAAGCATCCAGTGTTATTTGCATTGATTCAGTTATTCATATTCAACATGGACTACACAATGAAATGCAATAGAAAATGTGCTTTTTGTAAGTACAGGTAAGCTAAAATCTTCACGGCTTATTTATTGCACCTGCAGCACTTAAAAATATAAGCTCCAGCTTTTTGATAGTCCTTAAACAAAAGTGAAATAACTTATATGATATTATTGGGGGGGGGGGGGGGCAATCGTTTAACTAGGCTACATTCATGCCTATGAATTCATGCTGACGTCCTGTTTTTTTACAGGTCCCTTAAAAGGTAAATGAATAATGGAGACAGGGAGTACAGTCCCATTCGTGATCTCTCCGTGCCCTCAGATGGGCATAAAACAATATATATGATCAGGGTGTGCCACAGCGGGCTAACTGAAGACAATCCAGGAGGGCTTTGTCCTCTGCCATCTGACTTTCAAACATGAAATTCACTTAACTGTATCATTTTACAAATTAAAGCCATTAAGCCCCCCACCCCCATTAGACTACTCTAGTCTGTCATTTAAATAATAAAACCTGAATATAACGCTAATCTGTCCCATTTACGTCAGGATTCCAGCACTAAAGAAATAGTCACTAATGTTAGGATCACGACAACTTTAATCAAAAGTATGGTAGCGTTACCTGCACCACTCTCATGTCCAGGCCGGTTTCCGATGAGAGCTGCTCACGGACGTGCCTGGCCGGCTTGGGCGAGTTGTTATAAGCGTTTTTCAGTGTCTCCAGCTGTTTCGCCGTTATGGTGGTCCGTGGTCTTTTCGCCGTGGAGTCTGCCTCTGGGACACACGGGTCTGGGTTAGCCACTCCGCGCATTGCCTGCTGTCCTAAATGTCCAATATCGTGATATAATTTAATCTTATATAGGCCCTACCTTTGAATGTTACACCTCCGGGAATTGTACAGATAGGCTACATTTCTCTTATTAGTGTTACTTCTTAGCAAACACTGGTTCCAGACCTTAATATCATGTTATACTCATATTCACTGTGCAAATAAAACACTATCACATGTTCATCTCCTCAGCCGTGTCACATCAAATTAAAGAAACAGAAAAAGTCAGCTAGAAGGATACTGAAGTCCAACCCAATAAAAAGCATACGCATACAAGCCAAAGCACATTCAACTCCCCCCCCATTTAATTAATAGTTCAAATGTTTTATTCGTTACTAAACGTAACACTACTTTATTTTTATTTTATCGCTACTACTGCCGCTTTCGCGATAAATCACCTCGAGCCTAAATTCTCGCGCTTTTACACGCGGGCATTTGGCTACATAAGTGCGAGTGACAACACGGCTCGTAAATAATGGCGCCCCCTTGTTATCAAAAAACAAACTTGTGTGTTTTTACTGAAAACGTGCATCGACTCCCAAAGCCAAAGAAATACAGCCGTAGAATACATGGCTTATAACATGCAGATTTTTCTTCCTGCTGTATTACATTTAATTTAATTTTGTGGGCGCTTATCTATGTGGTCTAAAATTGTGCGTCTATAGCAGTACTCTTGCTTTAATATGATGATGACAAAAATCCAATGGCAACTACATTTGTGATTAAAGCTAAATGTTTTGCACATTATGTAAATAACATTTTTATGAACCATATAACTACAAATGATTTTGCATTTCAATATTCTATAAAACTACGCATTTGTCGTATAGAATAGGATACTAAATTTGAAGAATTGGTAGGCCTAAATAAATGTATGAAAGTTTGAATACATATTATTTTCTTATTGTATTAATATCATAAAAATATTGTGTCAACATTAGGTGAATGATCACTTAGGTAACCTGCTAAAATTCGAATTTTACATCAGTAGCTCTTGAAATACCAATAATGCGAGGTCATCAGTCGCCAAGGCATCGGGGAAATCGCAGTTTGTTAACAGGTGATTTCTTTTACTCTTTCAGCTGAAAGGCTTTTCAGCTCGTAGCTTAATCGGCCCGAAGAATGCGCTGACTCCCGGTTATATGGGGGGGGGGGGAGTCGTATCAAATATTCGTCGGAAGCTCGGACTAGTTTTTCGGGTTTTTCCCGTGATGCAATTGGATTTGAATGGGTGCTGTCCGGCTTTCTGATGCGGAAACAGACACGCATGTCGTGGTAGCGGTTTCCCTGGATCGAGTGTTATAAGACCTTTTGACCTCAAGTTAACTATTTTGAACTGGGGTTCAGCTAGGGGTTATTAAATGCAAATCTCTAGTAGGCTAAGCATTTATTAGATCGTTTTGCTAAGAAATCTTTAATTTACAGAATAAACAATTTAAGCTATAATTATGTAGCACAGCTGGTCTGTTCTTCGAAGCAGCAACGCTACTTTAGTGCATTTCGTTTAATTTCGTAATTCCGTATATTGATTTAATAATTTCTTAATCACCTCAGCTTTTAACCAAAGTTATGCATAACTGAGAGTATGTTACCATTCAATTACGCGACAGAAGGGGAGACATCACTAGAAAGCGCAGAAGCATGTCTTTTACCCAGAAAACGATTTTCAAAAACGTATATGACGTACATACGTGGAACAGTCTATGCGCATGGTTTATGTGTTAATGTGCTGCGCTCACCTCTCTGTTTAGCAGTCTCGTAGTCAGCTTTACACACCAGCCTGCTGTCCTCCATCAGATAATATTCGTCGCCAGTCGCCAGCTGCCTCTTGCATACAACGCAGGCGAAGCAGTGTAGGTGATACACAAAGTCCTGCGCCCTTCGCACGACTTGGGTCGGTGGGATACCTTGCTGACAGGCAGCGCATTTGGTTCCAAATCTCCTGTTCGAAACAATGCAACCAATATCAACAATTTAGACTGCAAAAAGTGTGCTAGTAAAAATGGAATACATTTCAATCAGCTCAGCTCAAAGAGCTACACATAGATTAATCTAATTTTATAATAATAATAATAATAGGCCTAATAATTCTGGGATTGTGCAATTATACACAATCGTCTATCGGACAATCATTATGTAACAATGGTACAAAACAATACTAAATTATACTAAGTAATTATTCATATTATTACTTTGCATGCAGATTCGTTAATGATAAATTCTGTGTAAGCACTCCTGTTTTCGGCAGAATCAACTACAGGTGGTCGGTTTCAGTTGCTCACTTGAAGAAGTCCTCTTTGCAGTAGACGCTGTCGCCCCTGCTGAAACACTTGTCGGCCAGCTGGGACTGGCAGTCGTTGCATTTCAGGCACTTGCTGTGCCAGTGGCGGTCCAACACTTTGAGAATGAAACGGTCCACTATGTGCTGGTTGCAACCCGCACAAACTGGGATCTCTGTTTAAAAGCAGAACACCGGGCAATGATATTAGGCCTAAATGGCTTTTAGAAGCAGTATACTCTTCGTACACACCACAAGTAGATAAAACATTAACAACAACAATAATAATAACAATTATCATTATTATTAAACTGGAAATAAATAGTCACAATAGTATAAAATGAGTCAACAGTTTGAATTTTTATTATTTTTATTTTTATTGAAAAATCGGCAGCTGAAAGTGTGACAATTATTATGCAGTAATGGGGTAAATTTTGTTTAATCCCAAAAAAATATAAAACAAGCTTAAATCCTGCCTTCGAATAGTCGTTCTGTTTGTGGACGCACGATAAGAGCAGCGCCTCGCTAATGTAACAGCTGGCTAGCAATATATCAAACACTATCGAGCAGGCCTGCTTCATTAGTTTCAGATGATATAATCAAACTGGAGCGTTATCTTAGAGCAACGACGTTTATGATGCCAAAATTAACATGATAATATTAAATGCAAAACCAAAATAAATAATAATTCGGGTATAATAACCCCGAATTAATGTAGAACACAAGAACAGATGAATATGTGAAACGAAACATACTGCAATGTGCCTTTAAACTTAAACACATGCAGTAGCCTAGATGTTGTAAAGTATTTTGATCGGAAGAACGGAATATTCCTCCCTAGATTTCTACATCCATCAGGTAAAATTTAAACAAAAAATGCATGCCAAGCACCAAATTGTGAATTTGTATAAAAATAAATATTCTTCACTCGCAAAACAGGTTTGGTAATATCTGGTGTTCCACCAGTATTACCGAATTTTCACAAGTAAATTATCTTTTTTTGCATGTAATACGTCATTAAATTTTGCTTTTTTAACCACCATGCATCAGGTATGTTGCTTAAATAATTTATTAATGAATTAATGATATTTACAAATGAGCTCGATATCGCTTGAAAGCGTTGCTTGTCGTGCACGTTGTTACATTGCGAATCTGCTTCGAATCTAGAGTTCTATAAGGAAGGAATAATTTTAATCCAAAGAAATGAATACCTGCAATTCTCCGCGAATAAATCTCAGATTCGTGCAACGCAACCAAGCCCCACAACAATTGATGTGAGATGTTCAGTTATCCGAGTCAGGCTTCGTGCAGAAGTTAAAGCACCCAGACAGCCGTGCGTTGCTTACCTGAGTAAATACCTAGCTAGTTTATATCAAAACAGTTGATAAATTACATAACAACTGAGCAAAACAGTTAAAAGTATACGTAAAAGAGTATGTAGAAATGTCTTATAAATGAAACATCCAGAATATTTCTAAAGAAATTTAATTAAAATTGATAACATTAGAAAAGAATGTTAATGGGAAAGTAAGGTACAAATTTGGTTGAAAAAAAAACACATGTACACCAAGAAGAAAATGTGTAGAATCTCCCATGAATGTCAATGTTGCCAAGCAACTTTACACTAAAAAGCCAAGGAAATGCCACAACGATAACGCTTACTATCAGCCAGGGACCAATCATCCACGAACTACAATATTTAATCTCCCACATCCGTACCGATTATTGCATAATCATCCAGACGTACACTTCCTCGTGCTTCTGCCCTTCACACCAGTGATAGGAGCAGCTGAACTTCAGCGCACTTACTTTGCATGATGTTCAGAGACAGAAGACAATGTGACCAACAAGCCAGGACCGCAGCCTCTCTTCACGTCCCAAAATTACGGACAAAAATAGCGGCGCCTCCGCCGTGTGTTTCAGAGTCTAAAGCCCATCTCTCGTTGCCTTTAATTGTAGGTGGGTACGCTTATCCCTCTCAACACAAGGTTCAATTTGTTCCTGCCCAGTAAACTGAGTGATGCTGAAACAACCTTCTGCACCAGGACCAGTAAAATCCCACAAATGCAGCCCCTCTAGCCAATCACTGTCAGCCATAGGTGGCTCTGCAGGTTTGTCTTCAGTAAACGTCGAATATTACCAGGTAGAGAAAATAAATAAAATTAAATTAAAAACCCACACGTCTATTTCAAACCTACTCGGGAAACCGCCTAAGCATTACTTAGAGACGCGAAAGATTTAAACACCTGTCAATATACGATGCCGGCTGTCAATCACAGGGTTTACCGCTGTGACACTATTTCTTTTTTAAGACCTAATATGTAAGATTTCCGGTTCCGATAAATGCTCTTGCCTGTTTACCGCCAACGTGATTTTTGCAACTTGTTTCACGAAAAAACAGTATTATTCAATGTTAAATTAAATTCATTGTTTGAGCACCATTCATGTCGACCTTATAACTGCAACTTACATACCTGTCTGTCCCCTGTTTTTCCGGCAGTATTCCGTATCAGTAATAAACCAAAACATTCTCGTGTGAATTTTTTTCACCAATTTTTAATGAGTGATCGCGTGCAAAATTTTCCAGGACGACGCCTGCACCAGGGTTAAAATAAAAATTTACCTTAACGTTAAGTACGTTGTTATTTTGTGCACTTTTAATAGATTTTTAGGAATATGTTATAGTTTATTATTATTGTAAAAGATAATACAATCGTCATATTGGCACGGGCGAGCTTGGAACCTAAAGTACAGAAGCATTGTCAGTATGACGGAATTTTAGCTCTCTTTGGGATAATTGTAGATCAGTTTGTAAAAGACTAAATTTTTAGGTTCTATAACGTGGTCAGCAAATTAACATAAAATTCGGTTATGATGATTTAAATATGGGCGTAAATTATTACACTAGCAAATATATAAAATTTTTCTTGGAGGTCTAACGAAATATTATATAAATAAACCATAAAATAGGTTAATACGATGTAACTGCTCATCCAAATATAAAATCTAAGTAAAGCATATTTATAATGCTAAAATGAAACGGAAAATTTTTAATTAATTAAACCAGCGTCCGTTCTAACAGCTTTTTGGCGAAATGTACAGTCTACCATTTCTGCATATAATATCAATATTGTTTTAAAATTCCACCCATTTCTGACAAGACTTTAAAAACGTGAATGACTTTTTAATAACATGATTCCTCAAGCAGGATTTAACTATTAAAATGCATTAAACTAGATAATTATTTGTAACTTTAGTTGAAGGATTAAGCCAAATAAATTTAGATACTTTTATCATTAACGAGTCCATAACTCAAGGATGCCAACATGTTAGGCCTAATTGGTTTGGTTTATTGGCCAAAGCAGAAAGTGTTATGAACTTTCTCACGAAATTAAAAAAATACATAATGTAATACACTCTGACATAATTTTTTTAGAGAAAAAAAATCAAACTTTTACTGTTCTATTGTAAAAGTAGACTGAAAACACGGTATAAGGCGACATTTTCTGCAATGTCTGTGAATGAGTTTTGTATTTACGACGCGGTGTGACATTTTCTTCAGAAAGCTGACTTTGGGTCGGCCTCTAGTAAAAGAGGTAAAGAAACGCGGAGCCTTATAACTTGCAAGTATGGATATTTGAATTATTTAGAAATTAACAGCACTATTACTAATAGTCTAATAACATGTGATATTGAAATATCAGTCATTGTGTTACTGTCTAATGTTAATAACAGGTTGCTGGCGGCCTTACTCGAATATTCTTGAAAGAGGCATACAGGCTGTATAGTTACTTAGTATCCTATAATATTTTAATACATTCACAGGTAATAGTGCGAGCTAACGGTTAAGATATGATTGTTATTAAAGTGAACTCAGACTGATTGATTACAGTAGTGGATTTATGATCAAAGTATCCTTTAGGATACCGAGTAATCTTTGTCAGGGAAACCCCAAGACGTCATTTACTGGATCTTCTTTTTTGAATCCACGCGTTCCTTCATTTAGCGAAATTTAAAAACATGTTTAGAAAATAATATACATGTCATCATTAAACAGTACGACGTATAACGATAAAACAATACAGAAATAAAAAAAATACAGAAACAAATGCCACGTTATTTTGGTCTTTCGCCGAACCATTACCGCTACCACCACTAATCCTGTTGCCTTCACAGTGATGGTTATTTAAACATAAATGAATTAATCAATATTTGAATTTTGTTGGCATATGTCACTTGGATTGATTAAAGAATTGAACCAAGGAGCAGTCCCTTGTCTGTAAGGAATGTGCGATCTTTCAAAAGCTGTTTATTTTACAGCATTGAAGTTACGCTTTAACGATAAAAATGCTACGTATATGTCAGTTCATTTCCATTATGTTTCAATATAATCGTCATCAAAGCTTCGTAGTAATAATTTTTATATTATATTGGTTTGGACGGAAATCCAAGACATAAAATTGTGTTTTACTGTTAGCTTTGTCACTGTTGTTGTACAGTATAATGTAAAACGGAAGAAAAAAAATTGAGAAAAGAATATTTTATGAAAAAGAAATTATAACGCGTAGTGGGAATCAAAACATTTATTCGAAGTATTCGTTTTAATCTTTATATCCACCTATCTACCACTGCACTGGTACAGTGGCGAAGAGCATTACAGGTTAAACGGGATTAATCTATAGTTAACACAGAATGGGAAACATCTGTTCAACTATGATTTAAATTAGTGAAGCATCTGTCAACCCAGTTCTAGATATGAAATTTTAAATGTATAATAAGCTATGACACTAAACAGACGTATAGCTGCCTTTTATATTTCCACATACGCAACAAATGCTAGCAACTAAACGACAAATATTTTAAAGGCTTTAAACTATTCTACAATTTTAACTTAAGACAAGTCATAAAACGTCGTTAGCTACTCATAATGTAAAGTTCAGAACTGGAGAGTATCCCCGTATAGATATTTGAAGTGAAGCGACTTAACTTTCATAAATAACAAATCAAACATGAGTCAACCCCGAGTAAACACTGAGTAAAATCGTGTATTTGGCTACCTTTGCGAAGATCCTCGTTCTGAACCAATAATGCAAGTAGTATTTCCGTGTTATTATGTGTTACTTTCGGAGAGATCCGTTCGTTAAAAACATCCATTTCTCATTATCTTGTCACACAAAGCCGGGCAAAAAAACGTAGTGGCATGCAGACCGAACATAAACTCCACTGGGCCACTTTTCAGCGTTTTAGTCGACGGTGGAGAATGCCGTCCACGTATGATAGCGGAATACGCCGCGTTACCCAGGTGACTCAGCCACTGAAGCAGTGCGAGGCGGTGAATCGTCACACTTCACGTCCATCCTCTCTGACAGAGCAGGGAGTGCAAATGAATGTGTAACATGTAACAGAACTATAAGTACCGTGACCACATGGCCTAAAGTTACAGATTTCCTTTAACTGCACCAGGCACCTTAAATTTGGGTTAGTGGTGTATGGGAAAATGTAACCTATCCACATAATTTTGTGTTGTCGGAACCTTGTACAACTGCTATAAATGAAATCAAATCTATAGTTTACATATTGTGCACACGTTTCAATGTCAAGTTCATGCAATTAGGCGTAATTTTTGCAGAACATAATTACTGAGCTACGAAGTCATATTGAAAAAACGCACAATATGAAAAAGAAAAATAATATGTACTAAATAAACAAATTAATCTTGTTCCGGGAGAAAATATGTTTCAACCTAGGTCTAAAATTGCTTTACAAATTATATGCACTATCCTGCACAATAGCACATACCCAACCGTAAAGTATCCCAATTAAACCAGGCTAACTTACTGGCAAATGTTTTCCTTTTTTATATTTTTAATTAGGCGTTTGGTGTTTTGTTTACACGTGTTTCTGCTGATAATATAAACACGTTAAACAACATCGTAAAACAAAACAATATAATATCCTGTACTACTACATTTTTGTAATAAACGATATGGCAATAATGGCCTTCTTAATAACACGGTCAGATAAGCTATTTAACTTATTTTTTAATTGCAGGTAACCAAACGATGTATTGTTTTCTTTGCGGTCTGTGTATTCACTAAACATTTAAAAAGGCGAAGGAACTGTAGGCCTATATGTATTTTAAAAAATAAGTAAAAATGAATTCAGTTCCATTCTTCACCGTGAACAAAATGTCTAGGCACTAGAAAACATTATGTAAACTGTTATCGATGTAAAATAATTAAGTCTTCACCTAAAATCGAACAGCTGATATCTGAAAATAAAATGCGCCATCGTAATTTAAATATTTGTCAGACGATCACTAATTTCTAGCAGGCTTACGGTATCTCACACTGAACATTGCGATGTAACAAACATCCCAGAGAGAGCCGCACGACTTCGCCCCGCGCAATATGCGTACACTTAGCCACTGTGGACTGTGTATTTTCCAGCCCGTGGGGGTTATGTAAAAGGCATCAGTTCTCCGTGTTGAGACTTCCAAAAGACAATTGTTTACTTTAAGGAGGATTGGCCGCTCAATAAAATGTTAAGTGTGGCAACACCCAGATGAATTTTATTGACACGAATCTTTAGCGTGTAAGAGCGCCATGGGAAATCAGACGTAGTGCCACCATGGACTGTTCCTCTGATGAATTCAAAATCAATGTCCCATTTGCCTGCGTTTTCCGACTATATGAAATACATTTTGGCGAAAGGGGCGCGATGCTTCGATGTTCTTTACAGGTTTTGAACTTTAATAATATTTTTATGTCTCATTGATCGTGCCGTTCTGAAGGGCGAGAAGACAGTAATGGGGTAAAACGACTGACGCTTATAATCATACTGATGAAACGAATTGGAAGACGGATGGATCTCAATGGGGCTTCCAAAAAGGCATATTATGGAAAAACACATTCCTCATTTTCAACTTGCCCTCT